AAAAAAAAAAAAAAAAAAACACAGTGGGGCTCGATCCGCTACAAAACGTTCTGAGGGGATACTCACACTCGGACTTTTATAGTACCAACTTTTGGACGGAACTGCGCCCAGATACATGCAGGTATGGACGTGAATGTGGTCAGATACACTTGACATACTGCTGGTGTGAGTACGCCCTCAGTGTACGTGGAACTCGTGGCGCTCCGTGTACATTCAAATTACAAACATTGAATGCATCTGGCCCAAGTTTTGACCGGATACATGTAGCCGTTGATCTTCGTTATTATCGTTATCGACAGACAGACAGTATCTCCGTGCAAAAATTGGGACCTTAAGCCCCCTGAGGGCCAAGTCCCACGAAAGCCCTCCCAAATGCGCCACGTGTCAACAGCTAGGGCGTACGCACAGTAGCTCTATCTGAAATGTATCTGATCGCATTTACAGCCGGACCTGGATGAATATGACCGCAATTACGGCCATATATAAAAGTAACAGTGTCCTAGTGTGAGTACGCCCTTAGCAGTCATTGATGCTCATGATCTACGGCCAGTATCTCCTTATCCCTGGGGCAAGGTCCCACTAGCAAAGAGGGGATTGGATTTAACGCCTGAATCTGGGCGTGTTCGTCAAAGAAGTGCAGAAAACAGCGATAGATCAGCTCTTCTGCATCCTTACGGAAAACACAGCCACAGGGGCACCTCGGCCCGGGGATTGGAATCAGAGAGATACTGAGAAGATTAGAATGCAAAAAAAAAAACGAGAGAACATTAGAACGCAAAAAAAAAAACGACAGAAGAGTAGAATGCCAAAAAAAAACGAAAGGAGACATCACACCGTTGACGTCATTGGCCCGTCCCTTCCTTCCTTCTCTCTCTCTCTCTCTCTCTCTCTCTCTCTCTCTCTTTTGGATTTGAAGTCCTTTCCCTGAAACCTTAACCAAGCAAACGCTTCGGCATTCTTCTCCATTCTCTCTCCTTTCTCTCTGGCGCTCCCTCCTCCTATCACTCGTCGCCAACGTCCCTCCTTTCCTAGGCATCTCTCTCTCTCTCTCTCTCTCTCTCTCTCTCTCTCTCTCTCTCACACACACACACACACACACACACACATATTCAATTTTTTTTTTTGTTTTGTCCCATTCTGTTTGCATGTGAATCCATCTGTGTCTGTCTGTCTGTCGGTCGGTCGGTCTGTGTGGGTGGGTGGGTGGGCGTGTGGGACGTTGGCGATGGCGGCTATCGCTGCTCAGGGGGCTTCGCTTTGCAAGTCAACGACATTAGCCACCCTCTCATCTGCCGGGGCTGGCGATGGCGGAGAAACCTGCCAGCGAGGGAGGCTGACACGTGGCGTGCAGGGGAACGACGTGTTCCAAGCGCGCTCTGCTGTTCGATCAGGCTCTGCAGATGAGAGGGCGCCACGTGTCAGAAGCTTGTTGCCTCAGTTGCCGCCGCGACGTCGCAAGTTTTCTTCTCAGTTCCTTCCTTCTGTACGTCGAGCAACTTCCCTCCTCCTCTCTCTCTCTCTCTCTCTSTCTCTCTCTCTCTCTCTTATTCTCTTTCTGTCTCTCTTTCTTTGTTTCTTCGTGAGCAGGGTGGATATCTGATCAGAGCTCTCTATGCCATTTTATATTTTATATTTTATTTTTTGCTCAAATACCATTTTATATTTTATTTTTTGCTCAAATACTATCGTATATTCATCTGATTACAAATCAAGATTCGAATTCAGGATGTGTTTACTGCCTTCTTCCCCCGAATACAACGAACGGTCATTATAACTGTATTTGAGGCATCTTTCTGTCTAGATACAGCCATAATGACCGTACGTTGTATTCGGGGGAAGAAGGTAGCAATTCGTTCTACATTTGTGTATCATTCAGTCACATTCGTGAATAGGTGAACATTGCCTCCACCTTCATCCATACTTTCCTCCCTTTCTCTTCTTCCTTCTCGTCTTCGTTTTCGTCTTCATCTTCGTCTTCTTCTACCAGTTTCTTTTCTTTCTTTCTTTTTTTTTTTTTGGTTAAAGGTTCTTTTCCTTGCTTCTTTTTGTCTTCTTCGTCTGCGTCTTCCTTCTGCTCCTGGATGACTTTTTCATTCTACTTTTATTTACAATAATGATTTCTTTTAGACATGCAGAGTGTTAATTTTATTGATTACATCTTAACAGTCCTGGGCCATATCTTCGATCTCTGTCCGTCGTTCCTCGTCCTCGTCCTCGTCCTCCTCCTCCTTCTCCTCCTCCTCCTCCTTCTCCTCCTCCTCCTCCTCTTCCTCCTCCTCCTCCTCCTCCTCC